GTGTCATTACATTAAAAACATAGTCATTAAGTTCATTTCCACATGGCATTTTTTAAAATTGCATACATTTTTTGTCATTTCAATGCCTAGTGGAAACTCGCCATTAGAGCTCAACCAGCTGCCGACGTAAAATCGTAGACTGTGTCAGCTCCGATCATGATACGACCTATCTTATGGGATCTTCATGTTAACGAAAACTCACCACTGCATGACGGTGACGTTGTCGTTGATTCGGATTGTAAGTATGGAAGGGCGCTCCGTCGGGAGCTGGTTGAACCATAACCGATTTCAAAATAAAAAATTACCAGTCAGTTTATTTTCGACATTCTTCAGTTCTGGGGGATGTTTGAATAAATGATTGCACCACCCTAATGCATATACATACATACATATCTTTGTATATACATATATCCAAATATTGTGCATCCCAGTAGAACTTGGAATCATCGTACGATTGCTCGGTGAGTACTCCCTTGAAGTATAGGACTACTCCCCATTGCTCCCTATGCTTCTGTGTATAAGCATGTAATTTTGTATACTCCCTTTAACACGGGATGTCCTAGGGTGGCGAGTAAACCCTTTTACCTCCTAAATAAGCAATCAGGAAGTTCATTCAGAACTTAACTGTTCGTTTAGAATATATCCCATTACTCTCCTAAGCGAGCAATATAGGATTAAAAAAAAACCGAAAAATCTCGTTTAATGCTCCTAAATCATGCCTCAGAGAGCATTCTTTACTTGCTCGCTTAGGAGATCTCCTATTTGACTTCTAAGCGAGTAATAAAGGAGTACAAAACCGACAAATCTATCTTGTTGCTCCGAAATCAGGTCAAGGGGAGTACTCTTATATTTTTCATATAGGGAGATCTCCCTTCAAGTTCTAGTGGGATGCTACAAACCATAAATATGTATGTGTAATACATATTATGCATTACATATACATATGTATGTGTAATACATATTATGCATTAAAGGAATTGCATTAGCATGTCACGTTTGACCTACAATTCTCTATACGATAGACTGGTTCGAAATGAAATCAAATTGTATATATATGTGATATGATTGCGAATATGTTCTCGGCAATAAATTAGATCGTGTCAACAAGAATGCAAGACTAGGCATTTTTCGTTTGCTACCAGACCACTCAGGGTACGAAACAAATTCGTTTAAATACTTTTTTCCGCCTCTGTATTTCACTTTTCTCTGCATTCACTTTTCACTTGGTATAAAGCTATCTTTTTCAGGAATTTAACTCAAAAAGAGCGTTCGTTAGGGCTTTTAAATTTTCCTTTTATTTTAAAAGTAGCAAAATGGATAGGCCGGAACTATTTGGTCAACAGAAATTAAGTCAATATTTATTGCAATGCCTAAGGGGCCCATAAAAAACTTTTTTAATATAATTTAACTTCTTCAATGGAACTTGTTTTTAATTTCAATGCAGTAAGTGAATTTATTTTTACATATGCCTGTACTTACATACATACATACATATACATGTACACACATCTGTAAATATATTGTGCCATTTGATAACTACATATTATGTTTTAATTCCTATTTATCTTATTCCACCACTGTAGTCATGGATGGAGTTCAGCGTTGGCGATGATACGTCCGCCCAGCATGAAAGTAATCTGTCCAACAGCACCCACCATGCCGGTGTCATTAAATGCCGGCTTCCGTATGCCTTCTTGGTTTGATTTACGTACGCTCGATATATCGGGTCCCGAAGATGAGGAGGGTATTAAAAGTGCCGCTCAAAATATTAAAACAATGATTGATGATGAAGTAAATAAGGGCATAGCATCGAATCGCATTGTGCTAGGAGGCTTTTCGCAAGGAGGTGCGTTAGCTCTGTATACAGCGTTAACATATAGTCAACCATTAGCTGGCATCGTGGCGCTGTCCTGCTGGTTGCCATTACACAAACAATTTCCAGGCATTAAAGCCAATGCTGATGATATACCAGTGAGTGGAAGATACAAATACATGCATTCCTGCATTCATATCATGCGCTAACGAATTGTTCAAATTTGTTCTCTGCTTATTCTTATAGATTTTTCAGGCGCATGGTGATTTTGATCCTGTTGTACCATACAAATTTGGTCAATTAAGCGCTAGTTTACTGAAGACATTCATGAAAAATGTCACATTCAAGACATATAATGGACTATCGCATTCCTCATCCGATGATGAAATGGACGATGTGCGGGTGAGACAAATGCATTTTTTTTTATATATGTAGGTTTACTAAATTAATATGTAATTCTTTCCATTTCTGCTATAGGATGTACTGGCCTCTTGGGTAAATTAAATTAAAAACCAACAACAATAAAATACACTAGTAAACAAAATGAACTTAAAGTTAGTGTGCATAGTTTAGCGCGTCCGTACATGTACACACATATATGCATGTAAATATTATTGGCTTGGCGCTGAAGGCGTACTAGCAAAATCTGGCTTAATTAAAATATAATCTGACTAAGAAGATAAATTAAGGTTCCATTGCTTTTAGTAGTCAGTTCAAAAAAAAAAATACAAAAGTTACAAAATAACTAGATGCAGACTAAAATTTTTGCCCCAAAATTAACAAGGAAACATGTTATTTGAAGCTGTTAAAAAAAGCGTAATACGTAATTTTAAAAGTCTGCTTAAACACATGCAAATACATACGTAGTTTGTTTTACTTACAAATTGTTTAAGTTCTTACCTACAACGAAAGTACACTTCTTAATGAACGCAAATATATTGATTAAATTTTAATTTATTGCCAAGTTGTTGGCATTAAGTTTCTCTTTGATTATACAAAAATGAAATTCAATGTGGAACGCTAATGAATTATCTATTATTATGTGTCTGTCAATCAAGTATTTACTAACAATTTAAACAAATTAGAAAATGTCTTGAAATTAAAAACATAAAAACAACAAAAATTGATGTTATGAATTTGGATATGCTGTTAAAAATATTTAAGATTGTCTATTCATTTGCTTAAAAACTTATTAGCTGCTTGTGAAGCACGCTTTTAAGATTCATATACCTTAATTAGTTTTGGAAAAAATTTAACATTAATTTTTTATATATATTTTTTTTTTTTGTATTCTTTTTAGTAGTAATTCAAGCAGGTTTTATAGATTTCTGAGCATATTCATAACGAGTAGTAGGACGTTTATTTCAGTTATATAAAATTGAGTTCGGAGAGAATCTAAAAAAGTTTCTTCAGCATTTGATATGTGAGATCTGAATTTGATTTGTAACTTTGATGCTTCTTGGAAAGTTATCTGCCAAGGGAAAGGAATTTAATCATATGTAAAAAATATGACAGAATGTCGTTAAGTGCGTTCCCGCAAGGCAGCAGTAGCTTTAGTTTGAAACAGCGTCAAATACTCCCCAAAAGATGTTAGGCCAAAGGGATGTTGCGTTACCGTTGAACCGGCTACCGTACGAAACCCATCTGTAATATTTCTCCAAAATGCATGGCAGCGTCTATAATACCACCACAACGACAGTAACAAAATATGCTATACACCCAGCATGGATGTACCTCTCTAGCGGTATCATTAAGAAATGTTAGGCTCGTTGCTATAGTTGAAAAAATGTTAGGCTCGTTGCTACAGTTGAACAAATTACGTATATCCTCCCCCTCTTTGTAAAAAAATCTCCCATGGTTTAAAATTTTGTTTATTTGCTTAGGCAATACCGGCAGGTCTGTTTTAGAAACGCGAATAAATCTGGTACTGTTGTAAATATATTTTTGAATTTTAGTAAGGACCTGTACATGATAGATAACTAAAAAAATATAACAAAAAGGAAGCCTCTGCATTGGTGATGACGATATTTCTATAGATTTGAAGTTGGAGTGGCATAGACAACTTCCTATGGTCTTTGTTAGATGCTGTTGAAATTACAGCTATTGACAGTACGTAAACCCAAAATCTGTATGCAGGATTAATATATCGTTGTGGGAAATCTATTAAATTTGGAGCTCATTTTTAATTTTTTTCTCATTCAAATACACTTAAGCTACATACAACACAATTTGTTGAAATAAAGCATAAACTTGAAATTAACTGAAATTTGAAGCATTTTTTATTCTATAAATATATTTATTGGGATAATTTGGTTCATTCTCTGTTCACAATTGCACAATTTAAAACTGCGACAAATAATGCTAACTTTAATTCATGTGAAGGCCTATATTTTATTGATTTTGAGAATCTTTTTCATATTTAAGTTTTGCTGCATTAATTTACATTACATATATTCTTGTTAATAAATCCTGTTTAGTGTTGTTTCATACATTTCGTTTGTTCATTTTGAGTACATCACTTATATCTTCATGTATATTTGCAGAGTGGTGACAATAGAAACAGTAAAACGTCGAGGCTGGATGTTAGCGGAAATGCCACAGCGCAATGCTGTCTTATATCATAGTAGCAAATCTGTGATTTTCTTTGATGGTGATTGTGATGATGATGTATGAGAGGCACAAGCACATTTTTATTAATGCAACATAATACATGACTCATAAACATAATACTATCTAATGCAAAAAGCTGGAAACCCACAAGAAAACTAGCGTAAAAAAAAACATGCAGCAACTCAAGCAACTCAGAAATTAACTTTTTTCAAGTAGCTTAAATCATAATGAGTATTAAATTAACTAACTTCTCTAGTAGCCTAAATTATTAAGAAGTTCCGCGTGTATTTTTACCAGCACGCATACAAAATCCTCAATAATATCTAATATAAATAAGTCTTGCACTGTATTAAGTCTGGCGCAATATTTTTTTATTTTATTATCTTTAGAAATGGTAAAAAAATGTAGGCGATCATTTCTGCTGTTAAAGTTGTTAAACAGAAAATATACATATGCCCTTAACGTATAGTGTAGCGTGACTGATCTATATTATTATATTATTATTATTATTACTATTACAAGTAGCGAATTGTGAAATGAGAGCAGTAAAGAAAGTAAGAAAATTATGAACAATGAAAACTGAATAAAAGACAGAAATGGATTTACAAAATAATACCATAAACTTAGCCTGCATTATATCAATTACACATCCAAATGCAATTTAAAGCACGCAAATCGATAATGTCGACTTTTGGGATTGCGTAGTAGACACATAGGTTGACGTACATTTGTCTGACAACATAACGCAAGCAATTGCTTTAAGCCCGCCGGTGTGACATAGCCCACCGCACACACCGTCGCCTCAGTGTAACTGAAATGAGCTGTCGTCGCATAGCCGAATACTTCACGTTGGCATTGCTTGCGCACACTGTACAGTGTAGTGTGATCCTCCGGCAACCAAAGCTTGCACATACGTTTAAGTTGCTCAGCGACAAGGGTGGCTGTATTAGCAGGACTAATATACACCCGGGTTTTACTTGTCTCCTGTGTATATATTGGCAAAATTGATATCAAGCAAAAAATAATATTGTTTCTGCAACAAACGTACCTGTTGTTTGCGCTTTACGCGCACACGTTTTGCGCGTAAACGCTTCAATAGCTTTTTGTGAGTCTGCCGCAAACGTTTGCGTTCACGCTCGGCCAAATCTGGCAATAGTGGTTCGGTAAAGACAGGTTCATGATTTCCCATCCTTATCTGCCTAAGATTGCGTTTGAAATCGCCGCGTGTGGGTAGGCAAATTAACGAGAAGTCTTCCAAATTGCCACGCGATTTCATTCGGAAGTACAACTGTATCAGACAATTGTTTGGTATTTCAATTGGAAATATTTTGCTCTTCCCCTGTATGTGTAGCAACAGCTGTTGCAGCAACGCGCGATCACGTAGTATATGAAAGGTATTTGTTGTTAACTCTGATATCTGTGTAGGATCAGTTGTCCAGTCGCGTATGAGTTCAGTGAATGGCGCACGAAATGGACTCACTATCGCCATTTTCTTATAATTGTGACGCTTATTGGGCGGTTTACGGAAATATTTGGCACTTAGTTCTTGATGACGAGTAGCAGCGAGCACACGACCTACATACATGTGTACATATTTTAAAAATAAACAGAATATTAACTCCATCAAATGCAACATCCAAAAGGTATACTCACCAGCAACTGTGTCTGGCAAATGCTCCTCTGTACCCATCTCACGTGCAATGGTTTCGAACTCCCTTAGTCCGCCAGGTTTGGCGCCCCACATGATGAGGGACAGCCAAATGGGCATACCATAGCCAGCTGGCATGATCACATCCCAGCCACAGCCATAACCCAGACGTTTATACTGCTCGCGCTGTGAACCTGGACGTTGTATCAATATTACTGGCACAGCCTGCATTTCATCTTCGAATTGACAACGTGCCCCCGGTACTACCGCATGCTTAGCCCGCAGCTTACTATACGCACTGGGTGTTATCATGCTCTTGCAAAGCCCGTCCCGCACATCCGTGTTCCATAAAACACTTTGCGCTAAATGATCTGACATATTTAGTAAAAGCTCTAGACGGCTTTTGCTTGAAAGCTGGAATGGTAGTGCTTTTGTACGTTTTTTCGGGCGAGTTAAACGTGGATCTTCGATGTTTAGTGCTAGTATCATGTTTGAAAGTAATTCTCCAGGTGAACCTAATTCAGCGCAATTTTGCCAAAATTCAGATTGTTTGTCATGTACTACTTTTGAGGAAGTATTTTCTTTAAACCTCTTGTGCAACCAAGTAGGCTGTGCGTTTTCTTTGAAACATTTTGGTTTGAAAGTGTGTATGAGTACACTTTGGGCGAGGTGACCCGTGAGACGGAAGCGATTCATGACATCTTTCAGATCGTTTAGTTCTATGCATAATTTTGTATTTCCATATCGCTTAATGCGCTCAAAAGCTAAAGTTTTCGTCATGAATTGTAAGCGACGTTGTTCATTAGGTTTTCGCGGCTTCGTAGCTGAAAATACATAAATGAATAAGTACATACTATATGTGGTATACAATTTTAATATATATCCTAATTCAATTACTTTACATTTCACTTGCATCTCATTGCCATCTTTGGTCAACGGTTTATCAGGTTCAATAGGCACTGTGATACTACTCAAGGAAATAAGTTCAAACACTTTTATCAATTCCTCCAGCACAGCAGGATAAGCGCTTGGATGCACCCACAGCCAAAGCGTACGTGGTATTTCTTCCTCATTCACCGCCTCACCAGTTGGCTGCCACATGAAAGAAACACGTCCCAGAGCATACTCGGGATATTTACTATCTCTAAATAAATCTATACTGCCTTCTCTTCGACCAGTGGCATATGTTTTTGCGGCGATACTAAGTCCGCATTTAGGGCTGGTTAACCTTGTGAATCCCTGGCGCAAATCTGCCAATTTTCCTTTCAATTCAATACATACATAGAACGACATATCCTGCAGCAAACAGTGTTCCGCCGAAGCGCGATAGCATGCTCTGTAAGTTTTGTCACAGCTGGATTGCGGTAAACGGTAGCCCCAGCGTTCGACCATGTGAAAACGTTTTGCATGCCAAATGTGTGTTTCTAGCCAAACGTTTCG